TTATCCTTATGCTCTCTAACGAATTTTAGCCTAGCATCTCTGTGTCGTTTCAAGAGGAGTGGAGTCTTCCTTGGGATGCGTGATTTCAGACTGTTTTTGTGTAGTTCATTACGTATTGTACGCTTGGTTACTTCAATCCCTAATGCACGCAGATGTTCCTGCAGCTCTTCTCGGGTAACCTGTGGATTTTGTTGGATCTGGCGTCCCAATATCATTGATGATCTTAGAGAAATCTTCTCGGAGCACCAGTTTGCCTTTGGTTTTTGACGATGTTAAGAGTTTTAAACCTTGCAATGAACGAAGAAATTGTAGTAAAAGGAATATTCAGGTTGTTAGAAATCGTTCTGTAACTGTTCCCATCTTTCCAAAGAGACAAAATGTGTTGTTTTTTGTGAAATAGTCAATTCTTTACCTTTAGGCATTATTAGAACCTTCTCGTAAGACTAGAAATTAGAAATTGCAGAATGCTCTGATAATACTGATAATAGCATTAACTATAATTACTAATAACATTATTTTGGAACATTCTAGAATATATTAATTTTTAGAATAATTAATTGATTATTTTTATTCTAATAATTGATTTGTACGAATACCGAGATTTTTTCACCAGTTAATTTTTAAAAAAAAATGCATTAATTTCTGTTAGAATAAGAATTAATTAAGTTTATTATTGTTTTTTAATAGTATGTGTCTTTATACATAAAATGTGATGTTATGAAGTCCTGAAGGAGATTTGTTTTATTTAAGGCTTTTACATTTATAAAAATACACTTCCTTTTTTTTTTTTTTCAAGTGTACGATTTTATTTATTTCCCACTTTATATTATTTTGTTAGATATGATATATATATATATATATATATATATATATATATATATATATATATATATATATATATATATATATATATATATAATAATAATTTTAAGAAAAGAAAGAAAGAAAGAAAGAAAGAAAGAAATTGAATGTTTTTAAGCAAGGGGAAGGCTTAAGTAATGGATAGCGGCTTGGATTGGAATCGAAAGAGCCGAGTTTAATTCCAGTCGAATCCATTAAATTCATTTTACGTGCTAATAGCCTTGGGAAAGGTATGGAATTATTTTTAAATAGCAATAAACAGACGGATTCTATAGCCCTGGATGGCAATTGGTTTAGGAGAAGGACAAATGTCTGCATTAAAACCTGTGGAGTGTCGTTTGGGGCCCAAAAATAAGGTGCACCATGTCTCTGTAAATTTATTTTCAAAAAGTGTGGCTGGTTTTAAAAAAAAGGATTTTAAACATTTAATTTCTGCGTAGGTAGTCTACTTTTCATCTTAACCGAAAAACACTTATACGACGGGAGAGTTCATGATTATATATATAACCAGACTAGACGATGTCATCTTCCGTTTTTAAATTTAGACAATTTCAACCTTACCTTTTTTTTGACGTCTTTGAATGTAGAAATTGAGATATTGATATTCAAATTATTATTTTTATTAACCAAATTTTTTTAAATAATTGTTTCTAAGTCGTTACCATTCTAATTTTTAATTATAAAAACGCGTAAATTTCAAAAATTAGTTATTCAAAAAAATTTGTGGGGGTTTTATTACTAACCGTTTTTTTGTTTTGTTTTATGTAAATAGTATTAAATCATATTTAAATAATCATTTTAATAAATAATTTTAAAATTGTTGTTATCCCCGCCCCATACTTTTGAAATTTATTTATTTGGGGACTATTTAGGATTTCATAAAGAATTTGAGATGTTTTTAAATTTGCAATTAATTTTTATTTTGATTGTTGTTTTATCAGCAATAGGACTATTGTACCATGTTTGGGTCCGTGTAATGTTTTTAGCTAAGTTTAAAAATTAAAACAGAAGAAGACCGTCCTTCCTCTTTCACACCCCTGCCAATTTTTTTGCTTAACATTTTGTACATACATACGAATAAATAACTATTCCAAAAATTTGATTTGAAGATGGAACAAATTTTAAAACTTTAATTCAATTTCAATTCAAATAATTATATTGAAGTTGATGGCTCTTGTTTTAAAACACGAGATTTTCTTAAATGTATGATGGAATCATATTTTTTAAACAAATGAATATATATATATATATATATATATATATATATATATATATATATATATATATATATATGAAAAATTTTAAAAAACAAACAAAATCCTTAAATGCAATTATGTTGTTTAAAATGAATGAAATGTCGACAATTCTGACGTTTCGGTTTAGGTTATTTTTTTTTTTATATATATATAAATTTATCAATTTTAACTTGTACAAAATGGCCATATATGTATAAAAAAAGACAATAGAAAAAACTGTATTATTAGCCAACACGTTACGTATTCAGTATGGAATTTTTCAAAGGCAAAAAACGAAATGAATTTATTGAAAACAAAGTAACTATTAACAACAAACAAAATGTCCTTAGCAACAAGAAGAATTTAGAAAACGCTATTGTATTCATATTGTCAACTGAAAATTACGCCAAGTCACGTGTGGAAATATTGTTTTTATTGTTGTTGACGAATTCAACCATTTTTTTTTATTTATTGATACAGTTGTGTACGTTGGCTTGGGAGAGAAGTAATTCTGTTAGGAAAGGTAATATAGGGAAAAAGCCTTGGCGTAGATTAGTATTTAGATAATATTCAGTGGCTGCACTCTCGAGGATTTTCCTTCTGAGTGAATTATTTTCTTTTTTTTATGAGTGTAGCATTTTAAAAATCAAAATTGTGGTTGAATTTATTTCTATGTATGACTAGTGCATTAGTTAAGTTCTTTTTTCTGAAGTTTCTTTTATGCTCATAGATACGGGTTTTTTTTTATTGGTTTTTTATTTATTTCTAATTGTTTTTCCAATATATTGGGAGGATCAGTCTTGGCAATTTATTTTATAAATGCCTACTTCAGAAATATCATTGTTATTAATGTTTGATGATCTGAGTATATCCATAATGGTTTTGGAAGTGTTTATGACTATTTTAAGATTATTTAGATGGGGTAGGTTATTCTGGATAGTGGACGTGACAGAATTGGTCTGTAGTATTATGTATCTGTTTTAATGTGATTTATTATTGCGGATTATGTTATTATTTTTGTGTTGGTTGTATATTTTGTATGCCATTCTTCTTGCGTTGTGGATGAAATGATATGAATATTATAGGTTTTTGGATGTGTTTTCTATGTATTTCTTCTTTAGGTAAATATTGAGGGCTGCACATTCTTAATGCCCTCAGATAGAAACTTATAATAATTCCAGATTTAATTTTAGAAGAGTGGTTTGAGTAGAAACTGATCAGGTCATTTTTGTTTGTAGCCTTGCTGTAAACGCCAAAATTGAGTTCGTTATTATTTCTATGTAAGATGATATCTAGGAACGAAAGAGTGTAGTTGGTTTCAGTTTTTCTTGCTTGTCTATTTTTAGAGTATCTAGGAAGTGATCCATTTAAAAACGCTCTCCCTCCAAACTCTTCCTACTTCAAATACATAGACGACTCACTACAATGTAGAATTGATCCCTCATTTTATATCCACTTATAATTTCTTGTTTATATATTACATTCTGATTAGGTATGAATATACCTTTTCTCTCCCCAGCTATGGGTTAATTAGTAAGACTAGTATCGCTAAATTATTATTATCCCCAGAAAAAAATTCTTACAATCTAAAAATATTTTCTGGCTTTAAATAACCTGCAAAGAGTTGATAAGCCGTAAAAAACGAATGACTCAATGAAATACCGATTAGCTGCACAGGCATGTCTTTTAGATTTATTTGTATTCTCTGGAATATATATGTATAGAAACTACGGCGGCCATAAAGTAAGGGATCAGTTTATATAGTGATTGTAATGTAGAACTGATCTCCCACTTTATATCCACTTATAATTTCTTGGTTGTTGATAAGCCGTAAAAAACGCATCAATCAATAAATGAAATACTGATTAGCTACACAGGCATGTCTTAGATTTATATTCTCTGGAATATAAATGTATAGAAAATACCGTGGCCACAAAGTGAAGGATCAGTTTATATATCGATTATAATGTAGAATTGATCCCCCACTTTATATGTACATTATAATTTCTTGTTTATTTATATTCTGATTAGGTATTAATCCATCTATTCTCCACCGACTATAAATCATACCACTAAATCATTATTATCTAAAAAAAAAAAAAACATTCTTACAGTTTAAATATATTTAAATAATCTTCAAATGGTTGATAAACCGTAAAAAACTAAACACTCAATCAATATTGTCAGTGCCGATCAAAATTATCGTTCACAGTATTCGTATTTTGGAAGGCGCCTCTATCATTTTTGGTCCGAAACAAAAATGTATCGTCATTGAGACGAAAGACTTTCGTAAGGACAAACCCACAAATAAAAAGAAGCACGCCAGACTGTTGACCTTGGACTGTCAACTCAAGGTCAGATTTTACTGTGACCGTCGTCGACCATTCCCACCCCGTTCACTACCCTCATCCCCAACAAATTTTTTTATGCATTTACTCATTTATTTAGATTTATTTACATTCTCTGAAATATAAATGTATAGAAAATACCGTGGCCACAAAATGAGGGATGAGTTTATATATTGATAAGAATTTAGAATTGATCCCCAACTTATATATCCACATTATAACTTTTTGGTTGTTTATCAGATGCTGATTAGGTATGAATCAATACCTTCTTCCTCCATCTATGGGTTAATTAGTAATATTTGTATCAGTAAACCATCATTAACACAAAAAAGGAATACTATCTTACAATCTGAAAATATTTTCTTTAAATAACTTGACAAAGGTTGATAAGCCTTAAAATATCAATCAATCAATTAGAGGATTGATATTACATATTTGTTTCCAAAGAAAAGTCTCTGTTTCTTAGTACATTGTTTAGTTTTTGGAATGTTCCTTTTGTTATTTAGATCCTGCTTCGGATTTCGGTGTCACAATTTCCTGTTATACCGCACATGTACTTGTTTGATGTTGACATTCTGTCAGCTTACAGTTTTCTGTTTCCCTTTATTTTTCTTGACTAGGCCTTCCGGTAGTATCCCTTCAGTGTCCCCCATCAATAAAGTGTCATCTGCGTATATTATATCGTTAAGATTTCGCCCAACGATAATAAATCCTGGTGGGACTTTTAGTTCTCTTAGGATTGCTTCGCTGTTAAGGTTGAATCTATCGGTGAGGATATACATCCTTGTCTAACGCCCTTTTCTATTTTTGCGTACCTTCTTTTTCTATATGCCACCTCTCTTCAGAACGTTGGCGATCATGTCTCTCCACAATTTCCCGTGTTTTGTAGCTCTTGATATATTTTGTATTTTTGTTATCTCTCCTAAACCCCGTTCCGCCATCTATTTACTGATGCTCATTATTCTTCTTTGTCCTTGTTCCCTTTAGAATGTTAGTGATCATGGCTCTCCACAACTTCCTGTCTTTTGTAGCTCTTGATATATTTTGGCTTTTTGTTATCTCTCCTAAACCCTGTTCTGCCATCTATTTACACGAGCTCGTTCTTTTTTTTCTTCTTCTATGCCCTTTGTCCCTCTAGGACGTTGGCGATCATGCCCTCCACAATATCCTCTCTTTTGTAGCTCTAAATAAATTTTGTCTTTTTGCCATCTCTCCTAAACACTGCCCCGCCATCCATTTACTCAAACTCGTTCTTTTTCTTCTTCTATGTGCCATGTCTCATCAGAATGTTGGCGATCATGGCTCTCCACAATTTTTAATATCCTTTTTAGCTCTTATTAAATTCTGTCTTTTTGTTATCTCTCCTAAACCCTGTTCCACCATCCGTTTACTCCTTTTTCTTCGTCTGTGTCTCATATCCCCTCAGGACGTTGGCGATCATGGCTCTCTACAAATTGTTGTCCTTTCTTCCTTTCTTTTCTTTTTCTGTATATTTTTTCATAAAAAAATTTTCATGATTCTTTAAACCCAGTTCTGCCATCCATTGACTCAAATTCGTTAAGTAGTTTATTTATTGTTTTCCTCTGCCCGTCATGCTTTTAAATTGCACTGCGATTGTTAGTCTTTCTTCATTATTTTATTATGGTATTTTCATCGGCCTTCTGTAGAACAACATTTCTGGTGCTTCAAATCTCATCAGTGACGAGATTGTCGACCATTCACTGCCCTATTGAGGAGAATTGATATCCCATAAACGTTCAGTACTCTTTTTATTTGTTCCTCAGCGAAACTTTTATGCTACTTCGTAATTTGCACATTACAATTGAGTATTCCTTCTAGTCATTTATTCTCTCTCTCTCTATCTCTCTCTCTCTCTCTCACATCACACACACATTTTTTTCTGATCACACATTCCCCCACACACCTGTTTAATCTGTAGATAGAGAGATAGGAACAGAGTGTTATAGGTAGATAGATATGAAGTGGACTGAGATAGATAGATAGATAGATAGATAGATACGAAAAGGACTGAGTAAAATAGATAGATAGATAGATAGATAGATAGATAGATAGATAGATAGATGAAAAGGACTGAGTAAGATAGATAGATAGATAGATAGATAGATAGTGACCATACTGAGATAGGTAGATAACAGACTGCCGTAGATATGAACAGAATTAGATAGATAGATAGATAGATAGATAGATAGATAGATAGATAGATATGAACAGAATTAGATAGATAGATAGATAGATAGATAGATAGATATGAAAAGGACTGAGATAGATAGATAGATAGATAGATAGATAGATAATGAACGAGAGAGCAAGATAATTTCTGATATACTCTACACACATACACATGAAACACACACACATATATATTATATATATATATATATATATATATATATATATATATATATATATATATTGTATTTTGTTTACAATGTTGAATACATCTTTATGTTGGTTTACACAATGCTCTCTAACGCGCGCACGCATACACACACACACACACACACATAACAACTAGTTCTCAAGGCAATAACACTGTCGAACAATGTGGCACGTGTATGTGAATTCAGGCCACCGTTTGAATAATTTTCAGTTCCGTTTGCTTCAAGTCGTCAGTTTCGTTTGTTGTAATTGGAAACTTTTGCTCTATTAAGGAAAAGGTCACTTGGGATTGAGATTATCAGGACAAGAAGAAAGATATTTTATGGAATGAGGTGTGGGTGTCTGCATATTTACATGAAAGAAAAGAAAAACACACACTAGGCAAGTGTTAATAAAGAGCTTAGAAAGTCACCGAGTAAAGCAAAAATAAAAATACTGATAAAGAAAATCCACAGAAGAATATATATAAAGAACAGTAAGATATATAATCCGGTGTTCTTATAGATATTTTTATTTTTACAAAATAGTACTGAATGTAAATTTACAGAGCATTAATATTATAAATTAATTGATTTGAAATATTTTTTTCGCTACACAGTTCTAACCATGTTTCAAAAATGGAAGCTGAAAGCTCCGAATTTAATTTTGTAATTAAATTAAAGACATTAGTTCCATTTCATCCTCAAGCGAATTTTGGAGTAGCTTTTTAAAATTACTGGGTTTTAAAGACACAGCAAAAATCATAATTCACGTTTCCAAGGTTACAGATAAATCCACTTCCACTGTAGGTTGTTTGTGTGTGTATGTGTGTTCGTTTATATATGGGATCGGATTTCCTACATTTTTCAACCGATTTCAACAAAACTAAATTTTTTTTTTGCAGGTAGTTGTTTTTTATTGTCATTTGTTTTTTTTTCTTTATTTTTTACATTCAGAATGCTTTAAAAATTCCATTTACAAGACAATTGTTTATAATAAAATTCTATTCGATTGAAAACAATGTTTTTGTTTGAATTTGGGTTTGACCAATTCGTAAAAAAAACAAAAAAAAAACTAAAAAACAAAAACTAATTAAGACATGCGTGTCCGTCAACCTTAAACAATAATCTTTGTCAATTTTATTTTTCAGTCTTTATGATGGTCGATACTTGATCTATCTCTTACTGATACATCCCCAGGCAACGCCGGGCTCTACTGCTAGTTCCTAATAAAATCTCATAGAAAAAAAAACCAGCCCAAGCATAAGAATCCCTTGTCTAATTGTTGTGACCAAGTAAATGGTTAAATAATAACACAAACCAGGTTTGCAGATATATCGTATATTAAACAGTAAGTATACCAGAAGAGTATTACATGACTAGTGACAGTGTATCGAATGAACTAACACTCAATCTATTCACAGTTCACTATTCCCCGAAGCCTTCTGTCCTACTAATTTTATAATAGGCGGAAGAGTCTATCAGAGAGTCTTTAGAGGGAGGACACCACAACACTAATTTTAATGAATTTTTGCACTTCAATGTATAATATCCATCTAAATTGGTTGTGTTATTGTCTTGAGAACAAACATGCATACACACAAGATTAGAGTTTTATTATTATATTAAATTATATTCTTAAGCCATTTTAATTTTGACAAACATCTTCAGATACACATTCTAAAAAAATATGCAGAATTTCCTGACCTTTCAACCCTTAAAACGCATGAAGATAATTGCATATGCAAATTACTAATGTGCTGTCCTGGAGGAATGTACAGAATAACAAGCGAGTTAATTTTCATTAAATTGGCTGTTCTGCTTTTCAAGTATGCATCTGTCTCGTACACGTGCGTACCTCAAGGCAGCCAGATAAACGCCTTACGGCTGTTAAGACTCTGAAGACGAAGTCCTGTTCATCAGCAGCTTCATTCGAGGCCAGAAGGATAAAACTGGAAAAAGAAAGAAATGCATATATAGACTAGTTTAGTTTAAAGAACAAACAATCAAGCGGGGCCAATAAGAAATAATACAAAAATATAGAATCAAGACCATTTGATAAAGAAGGGCCGGCAACATTTATGAGATGAATATGTATAAAGTTTGCTTTGATAACTTTCCAGAAAGGTAAAAAAATAAACTGTAATCTGAAATTATAGAAAAACCAGAAAATCAATTTTGCTTCAATGACAAGGTAATAAAATTATCAATAACTAGCAGTAGAGCCCGGCGTTGCCCGGGGATGTAACAGTAAGAGATAGATCAAGTATCGACCATCATAAAGACTGAAAAATAAAATTAATAAAGATTATTGTTTAAGGTTGATGGACAAGCATATCTTAATTAGTTTTTTTTTTTTTTAACGAATTGGTCAAATCCAAACTGAAACAAAAACATCGTTATGAGTCTACCGATTGAATAGAATTTTATTATAAACAATTGTCTTGTAAATGGTTTTTAAAGCATTCTGAATGAAAAAATAAAGAAAAAAGTGTGCAAGACAATAAGAAACACCACCTGCCAAAAAAAAAGTGAATTTTTGTTGAAATCGGTTGAAAAATGTAGGAAATCCGATCCCATATATAAATGAACACACACGCACACAAACAACCTGGGTTTTATAATAAGTATAAGTCGAAAGAGTTGTCCCCCTTTCATTCTCGCGATGCCTCTTAATCGTGTTTTCAAATTGATTTCGTGCAAAAAGAATTGTGTTTTTCCAATTTTTGTCGCTGCCAGAACCCCTGCATGGTAATTTTACGTAGTCCTGTGAAGTTTTGTTGAAATCGGTTGAAAAATGTAGGAAATCCGATCCAATATATAAACGAGCACACACACACACACACACACACACACACACACACACACACACACACACACACAACCTGGGTTTTATAATAAGTATGATTGATCAACACCTCGAATAAATAACAAGCGTATATGATCAGTCTGTGAAGCATTCACACTTATAGAACATCATTCATTAACCTCTACTTTGAGTGGCTCTTGGGTCTTGTATTGGATGAACACCACTAAAAAACAAAAAAAATAATAACTTGCAGTCTAAAAACCCAAAAATTTTGCTAAATAAAATGTGACTTTGACCTAATGGTTTCCAAATGGTAAAACATTTTTTAGGTAAGACATCTGGCATTACAGGTTCGATTTCTGTCGGGAGACACATTTTCTGGTGTTACTGTAGAATGTTATCTAACGTCCATTTTCTACTATTGTATGATATTTACCAACGGCTAGAAGTGTAAAATATATTAGGGTTAGGAGGAGGGGTTAGCTTTAGGTTTAGAGTTAGGAATTAGGGCTAGGGTTACGGGTTAGATTTAAGGTTAGGAGTTAGGGTCAGGGTTAAAGGCAATGAATAGTGAACCGGTTATGTATTAAAATCATTAAAAAAAATTATACAAAAAATGTAAAAAAAATATCATCAAATAGTGATTTTAATCTTTGTAAACTGATTTGATGTCATTTTAAAAAAAAAGTAAACAGGTCATTGTTCTTCTGAGTATTTTTCAGCAATAATGAGTGCATCATCATTTAGTTTATGCTATGAATGCCTTGGTAGATATCATACTAATAGTAGCAGCCATTTTCTTTTACAAGACGTCTCGAACTCTCGACTGGAAGACAATACTTTCAGTGTTTAAACGAAAAGAGGAATGTCTACCCAGACACGTGTCATCACTAAATACAGCATTTATTGTTATGAAAAATAAGTTCGGATTAAAAGAATATTATTATAATTTAATAATAATAATAACAATAATTGACGCAACTCTTTCAATATTTTGTAACACATAGAAAAGAGTGCGATTGCAGAAAAGAAAAAAGAAAGAAAAGAATGTTTAACGCTATTTCTTCTTCAAGTTACGTTTAAAAGTGAAACTCTTCAAAAGGTGACAATTATTTGATATACGCCGTCGAATGTATCAACCATGACTTGATTTATGTGGGTTTTATGTTTTTTTTTTTTTTTTTTTATATATATATATATATATATATATATATATATATATATATATATATATTAATAATGTTCATATTCAATTTAGCACCCAAGAAGCACTCATAAGGTAAGGGTTATTGTGTGGTGTTGAATGGGCTTAACAAAGGACAAGTAGTGAAGATAACTTTTAACCCTAGACTTGAAGAGACGTTAGAAGCATAGGGCAAAAGTAGACTTTAGAAGGAACCGGAAACCCAATCTTAAACAGGAAACAAAGGAGAAACCTCTACTCCTATTCTAAAAACCTATCTACTCCTAATAAAGGAAGAAAATAAATAAATAACATTTCAGAGTTTAAGAGGAGACGTTAGAAGTATAGATTTGAAGTAGACTTTAGAAGGAACCGGAAACCCAATCCTAAACAGGAAACAAGAGATAAATCTCTACTCCTATTCTAAAAACCTATCTACTCCTAATAAAGGAAGAAAATAAATAAATAACATTTCAGAATTTAAGAGAAGACGTTAGAAGTATAAATTTGAAGTTGACATTAGAAGGAACCGGAAACCCAATCCTAAACAGGAAACAAGGGATAAAACTTCATTCCTTTTCAAAAATCCTATCTACTTCTACTGAAGAAAGAAAATAAATAACCTTTCAGAGTTTAGGCGGAGCTATTAGGAATAGAGAGCGGAAGTAGAAACCTAATCAAAAGACCGGGGAGGGGTGTGAACTGGATGATAGGCGAAACTATCTACTTCAATTGAGGAGAGAGAACAAAAAAAATGAAAGAACAGTATTTAAAATTCCAGAGATTAGACGTAGACGTTAGGAGTATAGTGTTGAAAAAGTTTTAAGAAGAAACCGGAAACTCAATCCTAAACAGGGAACAAGGTCTGGACATCTACTCCTCTTCAAAAGTCCGGGGAGGAGTGTGAACTGGATGATAAGCGAAACTATCGATTCCTGTTAGACAGAAGATCTATAAAAGTTTTAGAAGATAATGTTTAGTAATAAAAATGTCGGAAATTAAGTTTTGATTTATTTAAAAAAATAATAGTCGTAATGCTTTTAGATAAATAGTACAGACTAGCTCAAAAACCTTGTTATAGCGGTTAAGAAAGTAATTGTTTTAAAAAGCGATGATTACAATTGGGATAAAGCCTAAACATATGATGAAAGTAAATTTATACATATTTTTTGTTGTTCTTCACAAATTACTACAGATATACTAAACATTATTAAATTTTTTTTATTCACAAAAATAATTTTATATTTATAACATTTTAAAAACTAATACAATTAAAACTAATGCAATGCAATAATTATTATTTAAGAATTTATAATGAAATAAATATGAAAAAAATTTATTCAAAAAATTATAAATATTTACTAAATTATTAAAATAT